GTGCGTGCGTGCGTGCGCGTGCGCGTGTGCGTGTGCGTGTGTGTGTGTGTGTGTGCGTGTGCGTGTGTGTGTGTGTGTGTGTGTGTGACTGTGTCTGTGTCGGTGTCTGGAGGGAGGGGCCCCAGCGCAGAGCCCAGAAGTCCGCGCGGGCCTCCGACGAGCCCGTGCCTCGTGCCGCCCTCGGCCTCCCGCCCCGTCAGAGTGCTCCGGGGCCGGGTGGGCCACCTGTCGCTGCGGCTCGGGGGGCCCGCGGGCGCGGGCGGGAGGCGCCCCCGCCTGCAGGTGACCGCGGCGGAGGTCTTCGTGATCGCCTCGCCCAAGCACCTCAACGAGTGGGACCTCGACCTCGACGAGGATCGGGAGGGAAAGAGACGCAGAGGCGAAGAAGGGTCGATTCCCAGGAGCAGGTGGGAAAGAGCACATCATGGGAAGTGGAGGGGGCAGACGAGAGCCCAGAAAGTGTGGAAAAAATAGGAGGGATCTTGGGACTTGTGCCTGCTCATTCGTGTGCCAACGCTGTGAAAAAATCACGACGTCGGGGGTCTGGGTGAGTGGTTTGCGGACGCTCCCGAGGCCCGGTAGTAGTAGGGGCCCCTGGAGCCCGAAAATAGCCCAGACATGCGACACGTCCTGATTTTTGTCAGTGCGGCGTCCCCGGAAGTCTGGACCCTCTCCCAGGAACCGTTTTTTTTCATCCTGAGCTGCTATGTTGACGGTGCCGAGGCCCGGCGAGGGCCCCCCGGGGCCGAAGATAGCGAAACACTTGCCGTCCTGACTCCCGTTTGAGGCGCGACCGCGGCAAGAGAGGTATGCAGGCGTGCTCGAGCGCCTCGAACCCGGGGACCTCGAGCCTGCCGGCCCTTCCTGCCGGCCAGAGCCCGTGCCGGCCCCAGACGTGCGGCGTCCTGATTTTTTCAGGGCGGCGTCCCCAAAAGTCCCGACCCCAGACATGATGGCGTCGTTAAAAAATCAGGACGGAAGGTTTTTCGCTATTTTCGGCCCCTGGGGGCCCTCGCCGGGCCTCGGGACCGTCAAGAAACGAGTCAGGACGAAAAACCGGCCCCAGGGGAAAGGGTCTGGACTTCCAGGGACGCCGTCCTGAAAAAATCATGACGTCGCATGTCTGGGACCCTTCCCCTGGGGCCGGTTTTTCGTCCTGACTCGTTTCTTGACGGTCCCGAGGCCCGGCGAGGGCCCCCCGGGGCCGAAAACAGGGAAAAGCCTCCCGTCCTGATTTGTTTTTTTTTTTTTTTTTACAACGCCAGCATGTCTGGGGCCATCTCCTTGCGTCCCCGGGAGGAGGCCGAGCGGGCGGCGGAGCGCAAGGGGGCGCGCCTGAGGGCCCTGGGCCGCGCGCTGCTGCTCGGGGACGCGCCCAGGTCCCAGGGCGCCCGCTGCGCGCCTGCACCGATCCTCACCAGGCCCACTGTGGGCCCGGGATCGGTATACGTTCTCTACGTACAGACATCCACACATGCATGCATGCATACATGTATACATACATGCACACATACATGCATACATACATACAGACAGACAGACAGACAGACAGACAAACAGGCATACATACATTTACATTTACATACATACATACATACGTACATCCATCCATCCATCCATCCATCCATCCATCCATCCATCCATCCATCCATCCATACATACATACATACATACATACATACATACACACATACATACATGCATACATGCATACATGCATACATGCATACATGCATACATGCATACATGCATACATGCATACATGCATGCATGCATACATGCATACATGCATACATGCATACATGCATACATGCATACATGCATACATGCATACATGCATACATGCATTGCATGCATACATACATGCATACATGCATACATGCATACATGCATACATGCATACATGCATACATGCATGCATGCATGCATGCATACATACATACATACATACATACATACATACATACATACATACACACATACACACATACACACATGCATCACACACATACATACATACGTACATGAATGCATACATATCTACATATCTACATACATGCATACATACATACACGCACCCATACATGCATACATACATAAACCAACACGTACACACGTATATACATACATACATATATATATATATATATATGTATGTATATATATATATGTGTGCACATACATGTACGTATGCATGCTTACGTGCATACAGACAGTCAGAGAGACAGACATGCATGCATGCATGCGCACATGCAGACATGCATACATACATGGATGTAACTTATATATATATATGTATATATACATAGATGTATGCGAGTGTAGAGATCTGTATTTGTACCCACGTGTGTCCCATGTTCTGAGGGGCCGGCTGCGCGCGCTCTATGCCTCTCTCTCGGCCTGATGTCCTACGCCTCGTCGCTGCGCGTCAGGCCGCGGCGCCCAAAGCGTGTGCGCGTCTGTGTGCTCAGGCATGCCTTCCTGGCCGAGCACGGAGGGCGTGCACACCGATCCTGGGCCCGGGATGGGCCTGCCTGGTCAGGATGGGAGCAGGCGCAGAGTCGGCGCCCTAGCGCCAGGCTCGAGCCGGGATGGTGGTGGCAGCTGCCGTCCTGGGTCGAGCGGTGGGAGCTGGACCAGGTGCTCCAGCACGTAGACTTCGAGGTCACCAGCGTCCACCTGAGGTACGACCCTCTAGGGGCAACGTAAGGCTCGAGTGCGATCGAGTTCGGGCTCGCTGGCGCTTTTTGACGAGCGCGTCCTCGATTTTGACGGTCCGGCTTTCGTGGGCTGTTTGCAGCGGGAGCTCGCGTCAAAGTTCAGATTTTTGTCCGAGTCTCCCAAATCTACGTCTCCCCGACTCCAGGCCTCCCAGCGATGGGGTCCGAGCAGACGGGGTCCGAGGATCGCGCCGCATCGCCGATGCATCGGCGACGCGGCTCGATGTGCGGCTCGGTGTGGGCCCCCACGCGACTCGATGGATCGCCGACGCGTCGGCGATGCATCGGCCGTGCGTCGGCGGTGCGTCGCCGACGCCCGCGACGCATCTCCGATGCGTCGCCGATGCATCGGCGATGCCTCGGGGATGCCTCGGCGGTGCGTAGCACAGTGCCGACGCGTCGCCGACCTCGGCCGCCACGCATCGCCGAGGCGTCGCCGATGCATCGGCGATGCATCGGCGGCGGTGCGCCTCACAGCGCCCACGCGCCGCCGACGTCGGCGACGCCTGGCCGATGCGTCGTCGACGTATCGGCGATGCGTCGGCGATGCGTCGGCGGCGCAGCGCGATCTTCCGACCCCATCTGCGCGGACCCCCATCCTCGGGGAGGCCCCTGCAGGTACGAGGACCCCACGACGAGCCCCCGCTTCATGTTCTCCGGCGGCGTGGTCCTGCCCTCCCTCTCCCGAAGGAGCAGACAGCGGCATGCACGTAAGCTCTTGGCACTCCGCGCGGATGTCTTGGATCCGCTCTGGGCCCCCCCCGCGGCGCCTCTGGCGCCGCCCCTGGCGCGCTCAGCACGCGCAGATCCAAGACATCCGTTCGGAGCGCCAAAAGTTTGCGTTCATGCCGTTGCTGCTCCTTCGGCCCTCGCTGCGCGCCCTGGCCGCCCCCGGCCGCGCGGAGCTCGCCGCCCGCGCCTCCGCGTACTGGCAGAGCTACGAGTCCGAGATGCTCGCGGACGCCTCCGACTGGCAGAGCCGCATGGGCCGCCCAGGCCTCGGGGCCGGCCGGGGGTCCGAGTTGGCCCAGCAGTCGAGCAGCAGCGGGGCGTCCTGGCTTGCGTGCAGGCCCACCAGGCAAGTGCTCCAAGAACCTCTTGTGGTTCGCCCACGGAGTGTTCTTAGAACACTTCTGGCGGAGACCGCCACTGTTTTAACCCATCGGGCTTGATTATGTTCTAAGAACACAGCATTTTGAAAACGTCTTTAGGTTCTAAGAACATGTCGGCTTAATTATGTTCTAAGAACACAGCATTTTGAAAACGTCTTTGGGTTCTAAGAACATGTCGTGTAGGCCTATGGGAATGCCAGGACGGTCGGCCCCTGCTCGAAGCAGACGCCCCGGCGAGCAGGAAGGGGGGCGAGGTTCGAGGCTGTGGGCTCGAGGCTGGTTCTGATTCCTCCGGGGGGGCCGCCTTCGGGCCCCCCGGGAGCGTGGGGAGCGGATCCGGGGAAGCTGCGACCCCTCGGGGGCGGAAAAGAGGGGGGTAATGACTAGGGGGGGGTGGATATCATGGCGTGGGCCGTGATATTTCCCCAGATCTCATGGCGCCTCTTCTTGTTTCATTACGTCCCTGGCCCCCCCCCCCCGCTGGGCCGCGCACATGCCGCCGGTCATGATTTGCACCCCCCCCTCTTGGACACCCCCCTCTTGGCCGCTCCCGAGACCCCAGGAGGGCTCCCGGGACCGACCTCGAGCAGCGTTGGCCTCATCCCCCCTTCCTGCCCCCTGGCCCGGGCGTCACCCCAACAATCTAACATTAACGTGTGCGTCGCCCCATCCAGGGGGCGACGTGCGCGCCGAGCAATCTTCTAATTAGTACAAGTTCCGTGGCGGGCGCTTATGGGCGCTTTCTGGCCATAACGCTTTGGAAGCGATATGCTACAAGATGTTTGTACAATCGAAGACGCCTACGGCGAATCACCGCCGCCCCCTGCCTTTTGGAGTCGCCCCTGTGGCCGAGCGTTGTGGCAGGAGCTCTGCCAAGCTGTCGGACCATCTGGGGCCGTCTTGAGGCGATATTGGGGGTCTCGTGGGCCGTCTTGGAGCGTCGGGAAGCCGAGAAGGCGAGAACGCCAAAGTCCTTCAAGAACCTTAGAAAAATCAATTAGGTTTGCCTCTTTGGGCCCTCTTGGGAGGCCTTTTGGAGGGGTCCTCTTGGAGCGTCTTGGAGGTCTCCTTGGCCATCTGGGGGCAATCTTGAGCGTCTTGGAACGATCGTTTGGCAGTTCGGGGTATTCTTGGACCGCCTTGAGGGCCTCTCGGGGCCCTGTTGGCCAGTCTTGAGGCCCTCTTGGGCTCGAAAAAGTCATGCGACAGGACTTCCTGGAGCCCAGGGGGCATGCGGGAAGTCCCAAGAGAACAGCGACAAGCCCAGAGAGATTTGAGAATTTAGGGTCTGGGCCCCTTCAAGATTCCTCAGGAGTGAGGATTAAGGCTTAGAAGGATTGGGCAGAGGGCCTGAGGACACGCCCACCCCGTGCACAGCGGCACGTTGGCGGACATATGCTCGGGTCGGGCGCACGCCTCCGAGGAGGACACGTGCGGTGGCGGCGTTGGTCAAGGAATGTGCCCAGGAGGCTTGTGACCCCGGAGGATTCCGTGTCTGATGGGGGCGGCGGTGATATCCGTGACCCAGGCCCCACTTGGAGTTCCACCCGCTTCCAGACCCTGGATTCCTTACGTACAGTCAGAAACCCGAATAGGGACGCGCGACTACGCTCAGGGGACCCTTGCGTCCTTGCTCTTCCTTGCTCTTGCGTCTCCGTCCTTGGTAAGGACGGAGGTCAGTCAGGGTACCCTTGCGTCCTTAGGGTTTTCGTCGTCCGCCGCCCCAAAAATCCCAACTTCGGCTTCCAAGGGTCTTGCGTCCTTACCGCGCGTCCTTATTATGGTTTTTGACTGTATCATGGTTCCCTACCTAGGCTCTGCCTAGAAGGGTTCTTACTCTCTAGCTGAAGGGGCCAGGCAATGGAAACCGCCCCGGGCGGTTCCCCCAGTCCCCGCCCCGCGGTTCCCCCAGTCCCCCGGGAGCTTTAGCCTTAGCTTTAGCTTTAGCTTAGCTTTAGCTTTAGCTTTAGCTTAGCTTTAGCTTAGCTTTAGCTTAGTGTTAGCTTAGCTTTAGCTTAGCTTTAGCTTTAGCTTAGCTGTAGCTTCAGCTTAGCTTTAGCTTAGCTTCAGCTTAGCTTTAGCTTAGCTTTAGCTTAGCTTTAGCTTAGCTTTAGCTTAGCTTCAGCTTAGCTTTAGCTTAGCTTTAGCTTAGCTTTAGCTTAGCCTTAGCTTAGCTTTCGCTTAGCTTTCGCTTAGCTTCAGCTTAGCTTCAGCTTAGCTTCAGCTTAGCTTCAGCTTAGCCTTAGCTTAGCTTTCGCTTGGCTTCAGCTTAGCTTCAGCTTAGCTTTAGCTTAGCTTCAGCTTAGCTTTAGCTTTAGCTTAGCTTTAGCTTAGCTTTAGCTTAGCTTTAGCTTAACTTTAGCTTAGCTTCAGCTTAGATTTAGCATAGCTTTAGCTTAGTGTTAGCTTAGCCTTAGCTTAGTTTTAGCTTAGCTTTAGCTTAGCTTCAGCTTAGCTTCAGCTTAGCTTTAGCTTAGCTTTAGCTTAGCTTTAGCTTAGCTAGTTTAGCTTTACTGTTACTACTAAAGCTGCTTTCCTAGGGGCTCCAACTCCTAGGTAGGGTCGCACTGGGATAATTCCTGATCCACTGCCCTCACCGTGCTACTAGCATGTCCTTCTGCGTCACACGGCGGCCTCCAATCACCGAGCGCGTTGGATCCACTACCCGCAAAATGCCCACCCGCAAATGCCAGAAAAGCCGCACGTCTTCCTCTGCGTGGGGGATCGTGAATCCCCCGCGGCGGATCCAGGCCAGTTGCGGGCAGCTACTTCGCGAGCCGTGGAAGACGCTTGTCGATCCAACCCAGGACCGCCGGCCGGACCCGACGCGCCCCAGCCACACCAGGCCGTACCCGCGGCCGAGCTGCGCGCGGAGGTGAGCTGCCCGTGCCAGCGCACGGGCGCCTGCCTGGCCCTGTCGCTCGCGGCTCCCGACGTGGCCCTCCGGGTGACGCAGGCGATGCTCGGAGACTTCGGGCTGGTGGCCAGGCTTGCCGCGCAGCACGCCGCTCTCGTTCGGCAGCGGTGCGAGGTCCTCCTCCTCCCCGCTCGGGTTCCTCCTCCTCCCTTTCCTCCTCCTCCTCCTCCTCCTCCTCCCTTTCCTCCTGCTCCTCCCGCTTCTCCTTTCCCGCTCCTTGCCTCAGGCCAGCCCGCGGGCGCCCAACGGTGCGGCTGCGTGGCTCACACCCCACGGCCGCGCGCTGGCCCTCCCCCCCCCTTCTTCGCGCCGTCGTCCTCCTCTCCCGGGGGCCGTGCTCGCTTGTGCGAGGTGGCCCGCCGCTCCCAGCACCCGGAGGCGGCGGAGGAGCGGGCACCGGCCCGGCCGGGCGCCCGCGCGCTCTGGCTCCGCGCCTACTCCCGCGTGCGCGGGCTGCTGCGCGAGCTGGACCCGCTGCGGCACTGGCACACTCGCGAGGTGTGGCGGCTGTCATCTTGTCAGTGTCATCGTCGTCGTCACCGTCGTTGTCATCGTCGTCATCGTCGTCGTCGTCGTCGTCGTCGTCGTCGTCGTCGTCGTCGTCGTCGTCGTCATCATCGTCATCACGCGCACTCGCGAGGTGTGGCGGCTGCTCCGGCTGCACCGGCTCTACCTGGACCTCGTGGGCCAGGAGCCCGCCGCGCGTCGGAGCGGCCCTGCCGCGCGTCGCAGCGGCCCTTCGCCGCGGCGACCTTCGGTGCGCGGCTCGCGGGGGGCGCGGGGGAGGGGGGGGGGGGGGCAACCCCCACTGCGCAGGCCGCCACCGCCACATCGCACCCAGCGGCCGACAGGCCGCGCAGCAAAGGTCGCTCTCCGCCACGGGGGAAGCGAGTCCTGGGGGAACCGGGGCCTGAGACTTTTCGCCGTTGCACTGCAGAGGTTCGTGCGGCGATGGCGCGCCGGCGACGCCGGCGAAGGCATTCGAGGTTGAATTGTGCGACGCGGAAGCACCGAGGGACACGGCGACGCCAGTGGACCCGACGGAATTCAACCTGGAACGATCAGGGCCGCGACCGACTCAATGTTCAACGATCGACGCGGTGTCAATACCTTTGCGCCTGCCGACGCCGCGCAAACCTACCGTAAGATTTTGCCCTAGGGCCCAAGCCCAGACTCCCGACGTCGTGATTTTTCAGCATGTCGACCCCCGGAGGTCTGCTGGGACCGGTTTTTCATCCTGCTTCGTTTTTCGCCTCCTCCTACTCCTCCCCCGCCGAGGGCGTCCCTCAAGTTGGTGCAGGAGCACTCTCGGCCCTTTTAGACCAGTGGGTGCCACTGTGGTGCGTTGCTGGCAGGCAGGACGAACACCCGTCGCTATGGTCTGTCCCAGATGATGAAGCTCAGTTGGAACCCATTTCCCTGGATCGGCTCCTGAAAGTGTGTCGGAAGTATGCCCCAGGTGCTGGTTTGGGATGGGACGGATTTCACCCAAGATGGGTTCTGAGCCTCACGGAGGAGCACCAGCTAAGGCTTTTAGATATTCTGCACAGGTTTGAGGACAGACCACAGGAACTACTTGCCTTCTTGACCAACATGGTCTTCCTAGACAAGCCCGACAGCGGTGTACGCCCCATCGGCCTCCTCTGCCTCGCCCTGCGGCTGTGGTCACGGCTGCGTCAACCTTATTGTCAGGCTTGGGAGAGGAAGTATGCGGAGGCCTTCTATTGGGGCACGGGGTCCCACAACACGTGCGAGAGGGCTGGTTGGGTCCACAATCTCTTGGGAGGTTTCTGCAAGGAGGTTGGTTTTCAGAGTGGGTCTGTCTTGGTGGACTTGAGCAAGTTTTACGAACATATAAGGCACCAGGATCTCCAAGCTGCTGGGCTCCAGTATGGGTTCCCCATCAAGGTCCTCAGGGGGTACTGCGCGATTTATGCAGGATATAAGGCACTTCTGTATGGAGGAGCTGTTTCGACGGCGTACTTGGCGAATGCAGCTGTGGTGGCAGGATGTTCAGGGGCGACAATTTTGGCCAAGTTATTGTTGCTCCGACCTCTCCTTCTCACTCAGCAAGGTCGTCCCAACCTTCTCATCCGCAATGTTGTGGACGATGTGGCGCTTCAGGTTTGTGGGCGACCACTGCAGGTAGCACAGGTACTTGCGGGTGCACTCGGCCAGCTCTTTGCGTGCTTTAACGAGCTTCACCTGCCCGTGAACATCAGGAAAACCAAGTACATGTGCACGCGTGAAGTTCAGGCCCATGTTACTGGAGCTTTGTGTCTGCCTGTGTCGTCTCGGGTCGAGCATGCGCGTAATCTAGGCACCGACGCGACAACTGGGACTAGGAGACGTGTGGGAGTGCAGAGGGCGAGGTTCATCGATGCAGGTTCGCGTTCGAAACGTCTTCGACTTCTGAGGGAGGCTGGGGCTGATGTGGCTCTTGTACAGCGAATGGGGGCAACGGCCTCAGCTCTCTGGGGTAGCAGCGTCTCGGGGATTTCGCCGACGACCATGCATGGTCTGAGGTTGTCGGCAGCCCATGCTTTAGGGCGCCACCCAAAAGGAGCCTCCCTGGGAATACGGTTGCACTCGTTTCGTTTGGGTGAAATCGTGGACCCGTTCGTGGCCTATGTTGGCCATGTGGCCTTTCAGTGGGCCACTGCGGTCTGGGACAGCTTTCTCAACGTTTCGGTTTTAAGTGCGACGGCTGGCGCAGCAATCACTCGAGCGAATTCGAAGAAGTACCCGTAGAGGGGAGCTGCCACGCCTGCGGATGTTGCTAATTTGAGTCTGCAGCGCATCGGTTTGAGTTTTCTGGACTTTCGATCGGTCGTGTCAGACCTCGGGCAGGTCTGGAACCTTTCGCAGATTACACCTGTTGAGTGTCGGCTGCAAGTCAGAGCGGCGGCCATCAGGGCTTCTGACAGGCAGGCCCTTATGCATGCAGGCGAAGATGTCCCAGGGCACCCTCTGTTCTGGGATGCGTTCCTCCGATCCTCCTCCTCCACGTGGAAGCCCCAGCATCAGATGTCACTGAGGAGCTTGATGAGCAATGTGCACTGGTCACAAGCTCGGGTGCTCAAGCATGGCTACCACAGCTGCTGCAAGTGTAGATTGCGTCAGGAGGAGGCGGGGAGTTTGTTTCACAGGCAGTACCGATGCCCAGCGAATGCGCCCCTCAGGAGGGACATGGTCTCGCCTCAGCTTGCTAGCAGAGCGGCACGCGTGTATGAGATAGGAGAGGAGCTGGCGGAGCGGTTCGCTCGAGCGATATTCCCCTCGCCGCTGGCTATCTTTCCAGCGCTGGAGCCTGAGCAGACGGTTTTCTGGATCAACAGGCCTGCTACAGGCCGTCTCAGTGGTTTAATTTTTTCGGGCGGGTCAGCCCGCTGGCCTGGGATCCCAGGGCTTTCGCGCGCTGGCTGGGCCCTAGTCCAGGCCGGCCCTCTGGGCAGTGTTGTATCAGCGTGCTATGGGCCAGTTCCGTTTTCCCACGGGCCGAGACAGTCGGCTAACGATGGAGAAGACTTTGCCGTGCACATGCTGTTGCAATGCGCGATGGCGCTAATTGATTTGTTTTGCGACTGCCAAGGAACCCTGGATGTCCTCTGGGGAGGCCCAGGGGCGGGGGCCTCTGCGGGAGGGCCCAGGGCCCATCTCTGGGCCCCCTTTTGCTCCAGCTTCGGCCCATGGGGACTTCGCGGCAAGCAAAACGGCAGCACATTGCACGATGGCCGATGTCCACAGAGGTAAGACAACCCTGTGGGAGAAGAAAGCCAACGACTCGGTCGACTCTCATGCGAAGATGGGTGCTGCCAGGCATCTCTTGTGCGAATCTGATGTGAATATGTGCAGAGGTTTTAAATGCTTGGTAAAGGAGTCGGCTAAGTGGGCCGCCAATGTAGAGATACATTTGCAGGGTCAGTCGGACAGACGTCTGGGCACTGTTGGCCTCGCGGCGGTTGAAAAGGTAGCCCCCGATTCTCACGAGCCGCCACCTCTACCTGAGCCTGAGATTATTGAGTCGGAGGGTGGGGACGGGGCGGGGCTTGGGTTGGGCGGGACGGGTTGCTTGGACTGGGCCGACATGGCCACCTCAGCCTTCTTTCTGCAGGGCCACGCTCTCATGTGCTGTGTCATCGAGAGCCCCGCCCGTGCTGGTGTGCCTATCGTGTTCTGTGTGAATTGCGGGGCCTATTGCGAGGACTATAGGCCAGGGGGCCTGCTCGTGGCAGGGTGCAACCACAGGCCTCGTTCCGCGCAGGTCAGGCACCAGCTGAAGCGAATTCGGGATGGCAGGCACCCCCATGGAAGGGCCTCGTCCAAGAATTTGGTGGTCTCCCAGTCCCGAGGGCTCTCGGGGGCTGAGAGGGACCTCATGAGTGTTCGTTGCCATGCCTCGCCTTCTCCTGCCGCAGGTCAGGCGGGCCGTCGGCCCAGGTTCGGCTACGCTTGCCGCCAGGCCGTGCTCGATGCGCACGGCCTCCAGGAGGGCGACCTCGACTTTGTCAGGTCGCTACGAGGCGGCGCCCCGACCCCCCCCCCCCCCCCCAGGATCCCGAGGATGAGGGCGCCTCGGACTCGGAGGGGGCGGTCTTCTAAGATCTTCTAAGTTTTTCTCTGACTTTAGGTCGCCCCACAACAACAACCCATTCCTCCTCCCCCGCCTCCTCCTCCTCCTCCGCCCCCTCCTCCTTCCCCTCTTCCTCTTTTTTTTTTGCCGTGGCGCAGACCCAATGCAACAGCATGGAGCGTTATAGGATGCGAGCCAGAAACAAGATCGCCGACTTAGCGGAGTGAGAAACAAATCAGGCCTGGCTGGCGCCGCAGAAAGTGGCAGGCCACAAGATCCGCAAAAGAAGAGGCCCCAAGGGCACAGAGTACGCGCCAGCCAGGCGGTCTGCGAGGAGGAGCGAGACTCTCTGAGAGAAAGACCGAACACCTCAGCAACATCCGATATGAGGCCGAAATGAATGAAGAGGGAACGAACTACACGTGCAGCACTAGACAAGAGTAGCGCTGCAATGCCCGAAGTTATCTTGATACCCCTCTCCTGACAGCACAGTAAGTTGCATGACCACTCATCCCATGTCTGCCCAAGCGAGCAGCTTCTGAGGAAAACAGTTGCAAGACAAAAAGGAGGAAAGCAGGCGACGCCAGAGAGGAGCAGTAAAAGGTGTGACGATTTGACGTGCGGCAAACAACAGAACGTATTAATGAGAGGCACTCGTTGTGTGAGCTGCTCAGCTGCTATACAAGTGTGGCGAGGCTGACGCTCTAGTATGGCTGGCCTGTGATGCCACCTGCAGTACTGACTGGCATACGGTAGGCAGTGTCAAAAGGGGCTATGTGTGCTATAATGCCCACCGAGTGGCTTTCTGGAGCTGGTACAAGTGTGGCTGGCCTATTACTGATTATTGTACTCAGGCTGGCCAGTCGCTGGCAGTGCGAAAAGGGGATGACTAGCCGGTGATGCCCCCACATCCCCCCCACTCCAAACGTCAAGAACCCCAACCCCTCCACACCATCGTTTGTCAAATTGTAAAACAGTAATATAGAGAGGCGAAGTTGCTGCGTGAGCAAGGCTGGCGCAGGCTGTGCTGGCTGGCCTGTAGGCGGTTGAACTTAGAACGAGTATGAGCAGAGCAGAGCATAGGCGATTGTGACTAGGCTGTGCTGGCTGGTCTGTAGAGCGACTGAGAATAGGCTGTGCTGGCCAGCCTGTAGGCGACTGTGAGATGCTAATCTCTAGGCGGGATACGAACGCTGAGGTGTGAGGTGGGAGGTGACGGAGTAAGGCGGTCCACAGTAGGGCAGAAGCCCCTCCGCCGAAGGCCAAGATGGCCAGAATTCAGTTCCCCCGATCACAACCCCTCCCGTGAGTGCCGATAGCGCCCCCCTCCACCCGAATCATCAGTACAGCCGATGGTAGCGATGGCTGCCTGGTCGGTATGGCTGAGTTTGGTTGATTGCTTAAACTTGCTGGCAGGCCAGAAGTATGGCAGGCCCGTCGACGCATAACACAGAGTGAGGTAGCCCTACTTCTCGAGAAATCGTAAGATGCCTTGCAACGCGAGAAGATATATAACAGTAAGGCTAAAGTTGTGCCATTCCCTGAATCAAGGGGGGCCTGAAAGATTGCTGTCCTCCTTCTCGTCGTCGTCCTCCTCCTCCTCCTCCACCCCCTCGCTGCGTGAGCCTATAACACCCCACCACCTGAATCAACACTATAGCCGATAGTAGCGATGGCCGCCTGGTCGGTACGGCTGATGCTGGTTGCTTAAACTTTGTGGCAGGCCAAAGGTATGGCAGGCCTGTCGACGCAAAAAGGAGAGCTGATGTAGCGCCACTAGATCGGGAAACCGCGAGATGCGCTGCTACACGAGACACCAGATGACAACATATGTAATGGCGAGAGTGGATGGCGAGCATGTGCAATCAGGGGTGAGGTGGGGTGAGACCAAGTACGGAGGCCCACAGCACGGTAGAAGCCCCTCCGCCGAGGGCCAAAATGGCCAGAGGCCAGTTCCCCGAATCACCACATCCTGACCCAAGTGATACCCGCCAAACCAGCCCCCATCCATCCCCCTCTAGTACACGCTGTTGGGCCGGCGCTGCCTGGCCTTGAAGCGTGGGAGGGCCTCGCGAGACGGAGTGGCGAGGCAGCTTGCCGCTGGAGGTGCCGGCTTAGAAACAATTGTAGCTAGGCAGAGGGGGAGACTGTGTGTACTATAGCTGTTTGCTTGCGTAAGGCCAGGTGCAGAGGCAGGTTAGGTTGAGACTGGAAGCGCTGGCTGGTCGCGCCCTCTGCTAGGGCCGCGCCTGTGAGCATTTCCCCCCAATCCGCCCCCAGTCACGTCCTTCCCCCAACTCCTGTTGGCGGCTGGAAGTACAGCCACGGGCGCATCGAGAGGCTAGGAAGGGTAGGCCTTGTGTGACCTATTACGGCTCGTCAGCAGGCTGCAACGACGGGGACGGCCATCAGAAGGAGCGGGAAAGGCGAGAGAGAGATGTAGGAGAGACGAGACGACCGAGACGGCGGACGCCAAGACGATAGCATGGGGGAGCTTTGGTAAAAAGGTAAAGATAGGGAGTGGACTGGGCAAGAGCGAGCGACTATCAGAAATCCTCGATCTGCGGTAATCGGTATTCTGGGTGCCGCAGTGGTGGAAGATGTGAGGTCGCAGGCTCTGCCAGCCCAAGCCGCAATATTGTCATATGGCCACACCAAAAAACAGTAGTCTGTGATTTAGCTGTTGTGTTGCCTAGCGTATCCTTGTGGGATACCTAGCTATCCCCAGTAATCACTGCCGTTCGTCTGTGCGATTAGGAACCTCGATTTCTGCGTTGGTGGCGCCTTTGTGCTTTGGTACTGGGGATTTGGGCTTGGGCACGGTTGGTGGTTCCATGGCAGGGGTCATTTCTTGCCATTGTCGCAGTTCTGCGTTGCGTAGGTTGCGCTGTCGCACTTCTTTTAGGTGTTGCTGGCATTGCTGCTGGAGGCTGTGTAGCGTCCCCATGTCATCCAAGAACCGCCGGTCGTTCCCGTCGTCGACGTAGTGTTTTTCGAGGTGCTCTGTATATGTGGGCATTGGGGTGGAGCCGGTTTGTCCGTCTTGGAGCTGTATCGGAGGTGCATTTGGTTGGAAGTATATCTGCCTGGTGGCCAACATTTTTGGTGTACTTCTGATGTTAGTATTTCAGTTATCCAGCGTTGAGCACGTGCAGCCTCGCGAGCTGGGCAGATGATGGGGTTTCTGAGGTTTGGTGGAGGTGGGCGGATTGGGCTTCCGATCACTGGCGTGGTGCTGGGCTGATGAGTGGCAGGTGTGCTAGTCATTGGTGGTTCTTGGTCAGGCATGGGGGTATCTTCGTATCTTCTTGTCGTGCGCCTGCTGGTGATTGTTGTGCTGGTTGTAGTGCGTCTTCTGTGGCGTCGTCGCTGCTGTAAGAACTTGATGGTGTTGAGGGAATGTTGTGGTCGTCACCTGGTACGTCGATAGGGTTGCATATGTGCTGCAATAGTTGTGCCGTGTCGTGGATACGCACGGCCCAGTCGTTCCTCACAGCGTCATCGTAGCCGTGACAAGAACAAATCCATTGTGAGACCATGAGTATGGCCTGCTTGGCAATCTCATTCATTCTTGCCGCAGGTGCTTGGATTAAGGAGGTAAGGTGCCCGTTAGATTTTGACTACTACTCTGAAGTCGTCGTTGAGTGAGCAATACTCTGCGACGTCATGCATGTAGATGCCTAGCGTAAGTCGTGGTTGTTTCAGTAAATGAGGTCGCCAAGGTGGTAGGCGTGAGTCTGCCAGTGTTGCGTCGCTTAGCGTTAAGTGCTTGGTCGGCTCGGTAGGTGGAACCTTGAATGTTGGGAGTCGAGTCGCATAGGGATCGGGCTTGAGGGGCGGGTGAGGTAGAGTTAGGGGAAGGTTGTTGCTAATAAGCACTAGTTGTTTTACTTGTCGAAGTATGTGTGCCATCCTGGTAGCAGCAGGTGATCGCTTGGAAAGCGGTAGGTGTATGTGTTGTCGGCTGCGTTGTAGTAGATTGCGTAGTGCCAGCTGTCTTCGTCGCGTCGTCGTCTTCACTCCCTGTCGGGCAGTGCATGTCGTGGCTCCCGTGTCGCGGTAGGGTCGTAAGGATGCAGGGCGTAGGAGTGCACTTGTAGTCGTCGCTGTTGTTGGTGTAGCTGTGTAGCCGCCTTCGTCTTCGGAGCCGTCTGTGGCTGTAGGTAGGACAGCATCGATACATTCGTCTCCACAAGGGTTGTGAATGGTGGTCGGCTGTCGTGTTCGAGTTGGAGCTGCTGTAGGGTTGGCAAACTTAGTTTTGGGTAGTGGCGTAGGTGCGTGGCTAGGTGATGGTGGCGGCCTTGCTTGTTGGTGATCTCTCTTGGATCTGAAGTCAAGCTGTGATAGTGGTAGCGTGTGGCCAGAGCAGTATTTGCGAAGTCTGTCATGGTAGTCATATTATATTTCTTCCGGTCTCTCTCGTTGCTCTAGCTGCTGCTGAATCCTATCGTAGTGTAGGTGGTCTACGTCGATGTCGGTCGGTATTCCTTTTTTGAGCCTTGGTGATCTGTAGACAGACTTCGTGCCTCGTGGGTGTGGTATGTGCATCGTAAGTGTGCCCTGAATTGAGCCGCTGATCCCGAACACGAGGCACATGTGTCCGCGTGGACGTAGATTGACTGCGGGTATGGGCGTGAGCCCGCCGATGGTTGGTGGCCCGGCAGGATTGCCAGGTGTTAGCGATATGAGCTCATGGTGTGTTTGTGGATGTCGTGGATGTCGTGGTGCTAGTGGTGGTGGCTCTCTTACCATACCTGTCCATGTATTGAGCAAGTTCGCGATGTGGCCGTCTACCTCTTGTATCTCGACGTAGTCTGGTTGCTCGTAGGTTGTCGGTGGTGTAATGTCATTGTGGGGCCTGTCCACGATTGATGTAGCCCAGGGTGGGTGGAGTGCTGCTGCACCCGACGTGTGGAGCACGTCAGCAAGTAGGTTGGTGAGTGAAAGTAGCTCTGACCCTGTGACGATGTTGTCCTCCTCCTCCTCCTCCTCCTCCTCCTCCTCCTCGTCTTCCTCCGCCTCCTCCTCCTCGTCTTCCTCCGCCTCCTCTTCCTCGTCTTCCTCCTCCTCGTCTTCCTCCTCCTCCTCCTCCTCCTCCTCCTCCTCCTCCTCCTCCTGGCGCGTTACCGAAGGAGGCGCCGAGGCTCCAGCAGGCAGACGAGGCGGGCCGCGCGCCGGAGCCGCTCGCCGGCGCCGCCGGGGCGGCCGTGGCGCGGCTGGAGGCGTCGCTGCCGGCCGAGCTGCTGGCCCTCTGGACGTGCCAGGCGCTGGGGCACGCGCCGCCCGGGGACCTGCAGCTGCTGGGGGTGCACCGGCGCCCCGCCCGGCCCTCCAGGGGTGCAACAGGAGGGAGGGAGGGAGGGAAGAGGAGGAGGGAGGGAGGGAGGGAGGGAGGGATGCGAGCGGGAGGGAGGGGATGGGGAGGGAGGGGAGGGGAGGGGAGGGGAGGGAGGGGAGGGGAGGGAGGAGGGGGGCGGGAGGGGAGGGGAGGGGGGGAGGGGGAGGGGGGGAGGGGGAGGGGGAGGGGGAGGGGGAGGAGGAGGAGTAGGAGGAGGAGGAGGAGGAGGAGGAGGATGAGGAGGAGGCGGCGGAGGAGGAGGAGGAGGAGGAGGGAGGAGGAGGAGGAGGAGGAGGAGGAGGAGGAGGAGGAGGAGGAGGAGGAGGAGGAGGAGGAGGAGGAGGAGGAGGAGGAGGAGGAGGAAGAGGAGGAGGAGGGAGGAAGGAGGAGGAGGAGGAGGAGCGAGAAGAGAGAGGAGGAGGAGGATGAGGAGAGGAGGAGGAGAGGAAGAGAGAGAGAGAGAGGAAGGAGGAGAGGAGGAGGAGGAGGAGGAGGAGGAGGAGGAGGTAGGAGGAGGAGAGAGGAAGGATGAGGAGTGAGGAGTGAGGAGTGAGGAGTGAAGATGAGGAAGAGGAGGAGGAGGAGGAGGGGAGGAGGAGAGGAGAGGAGGAGGAGGAGGAGGAGGAGGAGGCGGAGGAGGAGGAGGAGGAGGAGGAGGAGGAGAGAGGAATGAGGAGGAGGAGAGAGGAATGAAGGAGTGGAGGAGAAGGAGGAGAGGAGGAGGAGAGAGGGAGGAGGAGGAGGATGAGGAGAGGAGACTGAGGGTGAGGAGTGAGAGTGAGGAGTGAAAGAGTGAGGAGGAGGATGAGGAGGAGGGAGGAGGCGGAGGAGGAGAGGAGGAGGAGCAGGAGGAGGAGAAGGAGGAGGAGGAGGAGGAGGAGAAGGACGAGGAGGAGGAGGATGAGGAGGAGGAGAGGAGGAGGAGGAGATGGGGAGTGAGGAGGAGGAGAAGGAGAAGGAGGAGGAGGTGGAGGAGGTGGAGCTCGAGTAGGAGGCCGATCTCAGACCTCTCGAGGCTATATAATCATGCTTCTGAGGCCGCCGAACCTATTGGTGTAATCGATAGCTCCGCACCTGCTCTAAATCTGAGATCATTACTCGAGTAGGAGACCGATATCAGGCCTCTCGAGGCTCTACACCAATGCTTTCGAGGCTGCTGAATCGATAGGTGCGATCCAGAGCTCTGCAGCTGCTCTAAATCTGAGAACTCCTAAATCGAGAAATTTCGATTCAGGAAGAGCGGATGCAGAGTAAGAATAGTTTTCCGAACGTAACTCGGATAGCAGATTGAGCTCAGGCCTCTCGAGGCTCTAGACGAATGATTTGGAGGCTGCTGAATCGATTGGTGTGAACGAGAGCTCTGTAGCTGCGCTGAAGATCGAGATCGAGTCGGTAAAGGAGGAGGAGGAGGAGGAGGAGGAGGAGGAGGAGGAAGAAGAAGAAGAAGAAGAAGAGGAGGAGGAGGAGGAGGAGGAGGGGGAGGAGGTTCGAAATTCGAGGTTTTCGAACTTTTTCGTCGGTTCTCGGCGGCTTTCCGGCCTCGGGATGCCTTCCAGCGGCTGCGCCTCGCCGGATGCGTTCGAAGGGGGTGCCCGGCTCGTCCCGACCAGCCGCTGGAGACCCGAGGCTTGACCCGAAGACCGGAAGACGAGGACGTGGGAATGCGCTCAGGGCGGGGGCGCATGGACCCCCGATCGCCACGCTCGTCGCCGATAGAGGGGGCCCGAGGCCCCGCCCCGCCCAGGAGCCTCGAGAGACTCGCCGTCGGGGGCCTGATCTATCGGCGACGTACCTGTCGGCGATGCACCGCCGATCTGGCGCCGATCTGGCGCCGCTCTAGCGGCGATCTCTCGGCGGTGCCTCGCCGATCCGTCGGCGGTGTGCCGCCGATTCGAGCTCGGTGCTTCCCCCCCCGCCTGAGCCCGGGCCTGAGCACCCTCCTCCTCCTTCTCCTCCTCCTTCTCCTCCTCCTCCTCCTCCTCCTCCTCCTCCTCCTCCTCCTCCTCCTCCTCCTCCTCCTCCTCCTCGCCTCCTCACTCCTCCTCCCTCCTCTCCTCCTCCTCCTCCTCCTCCTCCTCCTCCTCCTCCTCCTCCTCCTCCTCCTCCTCCTCCTCCTCCTCCTCCTCCTCCCCCTCCCCCTCCTCCTTCCCTCCTTCCCTCCGCCCGAACGTGGTGCCTCTCCAGGCCCGGCCCGCGGAGCCACGTCCCTCGCCCGGTCTCGCTCTCCGCGGCCGTCAGCCGGGTGAGCCTGGAGCTCGGCTGGGCTCCAAGGGAGAGAAGAAACGGGGGCTTTGCAGGATGTCGTCCCAGAAACGCTCGCGTCGGGCACAGGACAGCGGCGGGAGGTGGTTTTCTATCGTCTTCGGCCTCTTGGGGCCCTCGCCAGGCCTCAGGACCGTCGAAGAGCGACTTGGGATCAAGAACTGGTCCTGGGGGAGAGGGTCGGGGCTTCCAGGGGCCGCGTATTGAAAAAGTCAGGACATCGCATGTCTGGGACAGGGACCATGACCAAGATGTCACGCGATCGTGTCGACGCCGGTCTTGGCCATGGTCCATGCTAGCCGGCGCCGAATCGCGAGAGGGTGATCCACGGAGCGACGCTGACCAAGATGGGCGGTGACCAAGATCGGCACGACATTTCCGCGTCCAGTCTGAGTCATGGTCCCCCATTTTCTTTCTCTCCGTCGGCGGCGCCCACCAGGGGGGTCGGCTTCGGAGATGGCGGCGGGGCGTCCAAAAAGGCACGGAGGGGCTTCTCAGAAACCCCGCCGTGCTTCCAAGAAGGCCCTCCCAGAAGCCTCTGGGGCCTTCTGGCCCAGACCCCCGACGTCGTGATTTGTTCACAACGTCGACCCCACCCTTGCCCCGGGACCGGTTTTTCGTCCTGAGTCCTTTTTGGTCGGTCCCGAGGCCCAGAAAGGGCCCCCGTTGACCGAAAACAGCCAAGAACCTCCCGTCGTGCTTTTTCACAGCGCGAGGGCGTCTGCCCTGCCTTCTTGGAAGTCCCCTCCTCCTCCTCCTCCTCCTCCTCCTCCTCCTAGGCGTCCTCCTCCTCCCCCCTCCCCCTCCTCCCCCCTACTCCTCTGCCTTTCCTCCTCTCTCCCTTCTCCCCCTCCTCTCCTCCTCCTCCTCCTCCTCCATTCCTGCTCCTTATAACTAATGTCTCCCTGTCGCACCGCGAGACGAGTTTTTAAGGCGGTTTGGGCGTTTCGCTTGAGACTTCAACAGTTTCACAGATGGAGGGCGGGTGGTTTTCAAAATGTGACTCTCGCCTTAGCGCCGCGCACCTTCGTTTAAAAAATGCAAAAGCTTCACGGATTGAGGGCGGGTCGTTTTCAAATTGTGATTCTCGCTATAGCGCCGCGCACAGTCGTCTTTGAATGTACAAGAGCTTCAAGGATTGAGGCGGTTCATTCTCAAAATGTGGCTCTCACCCTAGCGCCGCGCTTTTGTTTTGTTTACCTTGGCAAGAGTTTGACGAATTGAGGGCGGTTCCTTTTCAACATGTAGCTCAGCGCCGCGCACATTCCTTTATAACAAGTTGCAAGCGTTTCACGGGTTCCCATGACCGACGTACCAGAAATAGTGTTCTGGAAGGACTCCCGATTACGAGGGTGCAACAGTTACGGCGATTCGCGGTGCTGAAGTCCCAGCACGACTCAGGGTCGTCAAGACGCAACAGTCAGGTTGATCCGTGGCGTTGGAATCCCGAGAACAATGTTATGGCATGCTTCAGGGTCTTCAAACGGATGTCTTCCAACGAGGCAGGTCCCTCTGTGGAAATGAACCGTTGTAGGGGCCTATGGCCTATGAAGAGGGAGCTTTGGGGGAGGGTTTATTCCAACATCGTTGGTGACTCTTGGGCTTACACTGGTCCTCCTCCTCCCTCCTCCTCCTCCTCCTCCTCCTCCTCCTCCTCCTTCTCCTCCTCCTCCTCCTCCTTAACTTCCCCTCCCCATTCGTGGCAAGCGTCGCCCGCCCAACTGCGGCTGGTGTCGGTTCCGGACGACCTTGCCGCTGGGCATCGCGCCCGCGGTTTCCGCGCGGCAGGTTCGCGTCATGACGATCCCAGCGTTGGCTCCTGACACCGCGTGGGTCGTTCAGCCTTGAACGCTCGGTGGCTTTTCGATCGCCAGATCGCTCCACACAACCGGGCCGCTGAAGAAGGAATCCTCTTCGTTGGGGAGGGGCTCAGTGTTCCTGATTTGTTTTGCAGCCCGTCTCGGTTTTTCATGCGGCTTTCGATGAGAAAGGCGAACCTCATGACCTTTGGAGCAAAGAGGCCGCGTTCCTTATTCTCGGGCTGGACGAGAGGGGGGGATTGGGAAAAGGGGGGGTGCGAAGTCTGCTGCCTGCAGCTGGTTTCGGCCCCACCGAGGCGCCCAGCCCTCGATACAGGAGGCGCCTCCCGGCGCCGGGAGGCGCCGGGAAAACCAGCTGCGCGAGCTGATTCTCAAACCTCCCCTTTGCTATCCCAGACATGCGGCGTCCTGATTTTTTCAGGGCGGCGTCCCCAGAAGTCCAGACCCTTTCCCCGGGGCCGGTTTTTCGTCCCGAGTCGTTTTTTGACGGTCCCGAGGCCCGGCGAGGGCCCCCCGGGGCCGAATATAGCGAAAAACCTCCCGCCCTGATTTTTTTACGACGCCATCATGTCTGGGATCCCCCCCCTTCCGCCCGACCCGACATCCAGGGCTCCCCATGGCAGCGCCTCGACTGCCTTATAATTGGCCGCTTCTGGGCCACCGCGGTGCTGCGTTCCGCCCGGAGCGCCCGCGGCGGGGTCTCGCAGGCTCGCGCCGGCGCGACGCGAGCCTGCCGCGCCCGTCTCGGGGCGCGGCAGGCGGCTCGGGGGAGCACTTTTTTTTCATCCGCGCGGGTCGAGAGCGCACCCCAGACATGATGGCGTCGTAAAAAAATCGGGACGGGAGGTTTTTCGCTATTTTCGGCCCCCTGGGGGCCCTCGCCGGGCCTCGGGACCGTCAAAAAACGGCTCGGGACGAAAGACCGGCCCCAGGGAAAGGGTCGGGACTTCCAGGGACGCCGTCCTGAAAAAATCAGGACGTCGCATGTCTGGGGAGCGCACCTCTGCCGGTCGAAGCTAAGCGGGCCGCGCAGGGCTTGAACTACGCAGAGAAAGGGGGGGGAGGAGGGGGGCGCAGCCTCAGAACGTGGCCGGGAGGAGGCAGAGCCTCGGAACCAGGCGGTGTCGAAGTCGACGAACTTCAGGCCGGGAAGAACACAAGTGGTTGGGACCCCCGAAAATCAACCGATCAGGAGTCCTCAGATCTAGGCCCTGCAGTTTTTTCACACCGGGCGTCTTCGTCAGGTTTCGGTTCTCGAGGAAGCGCAAGCATGGATCAAGGCAACGTGGGCCGGTTGGGACCCGCGAAGAATCGGTTCACACCAGTTGGGATACCCCCGAAAATCAATCGGTTATCGAGGAAACGCAGATGTGGATTGCGGCAACGTGCAGTGGTGACGGGTCCCGCTCCCGAGCGGAATCGGCGCGCTCAGTAGCCAGACAGGGCGGCGCTGGCGTCGTTTTTCGCGGAATGCCTTGCCCGATCCATGGATCTGGCGCCCGCGCGCCAGATCCACAGATCCCTAATCCATGTTGGCGAGCGCCCGCGGTTAGGAGTCCTCAGGCCTGGGCGGTGCAGTTGTTCCACACCGGGCGTCGGGCCCCGGGACCCTCGCAGATCGAAGATCGATCCGGCTCGAAAAGTGACGCAGAAAGATGAAGTCCAGGGCTCTAGTCGTGATTTTTCGCGAAGTTGCAATTTTGGGATCTTATCAGATCTTTGGGAGGAGGGGGAATGAAGCCAAACCCGCTCAAAGTCGGTCCCCAGACCCCTCCCGGGATCCGTCTGGTGCAGTGTTTCAGCACAGTCCCGGGCCCCAAACAACGGGAGGCAGGAAATACACCGGGCCTGCTCCAATCTGGGCCTCAGACCCCGGGCTTGCTCCAATCTGGGCTCGGCGTCACCCCAACACACTAATCCTATATGTGCGTCGCCCCCCCAGGGGCGACGCGCGCACCGAGAAGTCTTACAGTATATGCGTTGTGGCGGGCGCTTTCTGGCCACACCGCTCGGGAAACGACCTGGGTATCTGTTCGGGTCGGACGCGCGCCTCCAAGGAGGACATGAGGACATGTAGTATATTAGTGTGCCTCTGTGCGTTCCGTGGGCGTTCCATCGAGGAGCTGTGCGAGGTCCCCGTGCCGCACCCTCTGGGCCGGGTCCCCTTCGAGATCGTCTCGCGCGGGTCCTGCGCCCACGGCTTCCAGAGCTCCGACTGGCCGCGCAGCCGCCTCGTGAGGGCGTGGGGCTGGCCGGCCACGCGGCCGGAGAGGCTGCCGGCGGGCGCCCGGTGAGCGCCGCAGGCAAAACGGGGTCGGCCGCGGACAGTCGCGCGCAAGCCGCCCGCGTTGGTGTCGCGCGGAGGCGCCCCTCGCTGCCGGTGTGCCGCGCCGCGCTGGCGGCCCGCGTGAGCCACCGCGCAGGGTCGCCATGGCATCTCGCGTGGGGTGCTTCCCCAGACATGCGACGTCCTGATTTTTTCAGGACGCCCCTGGAAGTCCAGACCCTTTCCTCGGGGCTGGTTTTTCATCCTGAGTCGTTTTTTGACGGTCCCGAGGCCCGGCGAGGGCCCCCAGGGGCCGAAAATAGCGAGAAACCTCCCGTCCTGATTTTTTTACGACGCCATCATGTCTGGGTCGTGTTCTTCGCCCAGGTGGGTCTACTCGAGCAGCCGCCGAGCGCCCGACGCCTCGGGAGGCTCGGGGAAGAGAGGAGAACCTGCACGGCCACAAGCCTTCGACGGTCCGCGCGGATGTCCTGGATCTGCGCTGGCCCCCTCCCCCCTGGCGGCGCCTTGGGGCGCCCCCCCCTTGCGCGCTCCGCGCGCCAGGGAGGGGGGGGTCTAGCGCATGATGGGCCCACAGGTAGGAGAGGGAGGAGGAGGAGGAGGAGGAGGGAGGAGTGAGGAGGAGGAAAGGGGAGAGGAGGGGAGGGTAGGGAGGAGAGGAGGCCAAGGAGATGAGGAGAGGAGAGGAGGAGGAGGAGGAGGAGTATGAAGGGAGGAGGAGGAGGAGGGAGGAGGAGGAGGAGGGAGGAGGAGGAGGAGGCGAGGAGGAGGAGGGAGGAGGAGAGGCTCTTCATCTCCCCTATCCTCCCCCGTCCCTGCGGTGGTGGACAAGACTGCCCCTCCGCGCAAGGTCCAAGGCCCCGCGCGGGACGGTCCGACGGTGCCTGCTTCTGGCGCGTTTTTTCCCCTTCCCCTGCCCGACCCCCGACGTAATGAATTTTTCAGTACGTCGACCCCAGAGTTCTCGACCCCTTCCCCAGGACCGGTTTGTCATCCTGAGTCGTTTTTTGACGCTCCCGAGGCCCGGTGAGGGCCCCCGGAGGCCGAAAATTAGGAAAAACCTCCCGTCATGATTTTTTCATTACTCGAGGGGGTCTGGTGCAGACCGAGGGGCCGGGCGTGACGGCCGCGCCCTGTACGAGGCCGTCCTGGCCGCCACGCGCGTGCAGGTCGAGCTGGGCCCCGGCAGGGCCCTGCTCGAGGCCAGCGTCGGCAGCGTGCGCGTCGCGCGGGGGCACGCGGCGCCCGGGCCCGCCGGGGCCGGCCGGGCGGCGCCGCTGCTGGCCTGCGGGGCCGCGGGCGGTCACCGAGGGCGAAATCCAGACCCCCTCGAGTAATGAAAAAATCATGACGGGAGGTTTTTCCTAATTTTCGGCCTCCGGGGGCCCTCACCGGGCCTCGGGAGCGTCAAAAAACGATTCAGGATGCAAAGCCGGTCATGGGGAAAGGGTCGGGACCTCTGGGGGTCGACGTAACGAAAAAATCATTACGTCGGGGGTCTGGGAACAGCTCAGGAGGGGAAAAACACACGCAGGCACAATGAATCGTCGATCCCGCAGAGAATGTAAGAAAAGATGGGAAGTGGGGGGGGCGGAGGCAAAAGCCCAGAAAGTGTGGGACAGTGTGGGGGGTCCTGTCATGTGTGCCTGTTTGTTTCCGTGTCCCGTGGGGTCCCTTCAGCAGCTGCACGAGCACACATCTTAAGGGAGCTCCGCGCGGGCCTCCGAGAGGGCACGTGCCGATGTCTACGTTTGGTTGCTCGTCCAGGCCAGCCCTCCTGCGCCCACCTCGCGTGCGGGCGCGGCGGCGCCCGGGAGCCCGACTACCTCAGGCTGTCGCTCGGCGAGTGCGGCTGCGAGCTCGTCCCCGCCGACGCCGAGGGCCTCGGGCTCTTCCTGGCCGAGCTGCTGCCTCCGCGGGCCGGGGCCGAGGCGTACCGTGGCCAGTCTGGCCTCTGCGCCCTCGTCCTGCCCGCCCGCCCCGCAATCCGCCCGCTCCCGGGCGGCGCGGGCGTGCAGGTGTCGGTCTGCCTCCACCGGGTCGCCGTCTGGGCCTGCCTGCCGAGCGACGGCAGCGGCGAGCAGGTGCTCGGCGAAGCTGCCGCCGCGGCAGTCGAGATGCGGGAGCTGGACTTCCAGTTCGGCCGGGGCAGCGACTCTGCCCAGGCGACCTCCTCGGGGACCGTGGCAGAGGCTGCTCTTGCTCTTCCTGTCCCCTGCGCCGCAGCCTGGCCCGCGGAGGGTTGCCCGCCGGGCGCCCTCCGGGATGCGCAGCCCGCCTTCGGCGGGCACGCGTCCGCGAGCTGCGGCGGCATCGGCGCCTCGGCGCTCGGCGGCTGGCGCCACTCTGGCCGCAGCGACGACGCGCTCCAGCTCGAGGTGCGCGTGCCCAGCTGCCAGTTCAGCGTCGCGCGCGGGCCCGCGCTCACGCGCGCGTGCGCGGCCGCGCTCGGGCTGCTGGGCGCGCTGCCGGCCCCGCGCCCGAGGTGCGTCCTGGCGTCCAGGGTCAAGCTCTGGAGCCCGCCGGCGCTGCGCGGGCCCAGCAGGCACCGGACCATGCACAAGGACGGCGCGCCCTCCTCCGGCAGCGACGAGGGCGCCGAGGACGACGGCCTCGCCGAGGCGGGGCGCTGGTCCTGCGAGGTCTGGGCGGAGCTCGAGGCCGACGGCACGGTGGCCCTGTACAGCCACCCGCTGCTGAGGCGGCCCGTGTGCACCGTGCGGCCGGTCTCGGTCCGCGCCCCGGGCGCCAGCGCGGCGGCGGCCGCGCCCGAGGCGCCGGGCGCGGGGCCGAAGGGCGGGGCTCGGCAGCTGGAGCTGCGGGTGCCCACGCACGGCCAGGAGGCCGCCCGGGGCTCCACCACGGGCACCGCGACCCTCTACCTCCACAGCGTCGACCAGCCGTGCAGGCGCTGGGCGGGGGCCTGGCGGCTGCTCGGGGCGCTGCCGCCGGGCCCGCCAGGCACGCCGCGCCCTCGCGCGTGGCGCGCGCGGTGCGAGCTGCGGCGCGCGGAGCTGCTGACGTCCAGCCCCTTTGGGCCATCGGCCCGCCTCTGCCTGGAGGGGGTGGCGGCGGAGGGCTCGCGGCCGGCCGGCGCCCTGCAGGCCTCGGTGCAGGAGCTGTCGGTGGAGAACCTGGGGCGCGAGGCGGGGGACCCCCGGAGGTTCCTGCTGTCCTCCGCGCACCACTGGGCGCCCTCCGAAGCGGTGGCCGTCGAGGAGTGCCGTGGCACGGCGCCGCTCGCGGAGCTGTCCCTGTCGCCGCAGGGCGGCAGCCTGAGGGCCCAGCCGCTCTACTTCTGCCTGGACCCGCCCGTGCTGTGCTTCCTGTCGGGCATGGTTGCTGGCCTGCTGCCGCCCCTGTCCCTGGCGCCGCTGCTCACGGTGCTCCGGGGGCCGCCCGCGCCAGAGCTCCGCAGCATGTCGGTCCAGCTGCCGCTGGTGAGCCTCGTGTGCCTCGATGCCTTCACCGCGTGCCGCATCGCCTCCGTGCGGCTGGAGCTGCTCCGCGCGGAGCTGGCGTGGTGTCCTGGGGGCTCGACGGTCGAGTCTGCGCGCGGGGGCGCCGCCGCGGTGACGATCACGGGCTGCGCAGGAGCGGTGCTGCTGCGCGCGCCGGCGCCCGCTGCGCCGGGAGAGCCGGGAGCTGACCCCACGGACTTCCTCGACGGCGTGCTCTCCCCTCACGACGAGCACTGCGCCGCGGGCGCCCGGGACGACCCCTGCGCCGCCGCCCCCCCGGCGCCCTCGCCTCGCACCTGGCGGCTGGTGCTCCGCGGGGCCCTCCCCGAGGTCCACTGCCTCGAGGCCGACTTCTGGAGGCTCTGGCACTTCGCGGGCGACCTCGCGCGCGCGCTCCCCTGGCGCCCCGCGGCCGGGCCGCCTGCGCCGGCGCCCGCGGGAGGCCCCGCGCGGCCCTGGCACCGCGGCCTGCCCCTCCTCGACGTGCGCCTCCGGCTCCCGGCGCTCGGCGCCGCGCCGGGCGCCGCCCGCGCTGGGCGCGGCGCGCCGGGCGAGGTGCGAGTGGCCTCGAGGCGTCGAGCAGGGGGGATCGGCTGATTGCAGCGCTGCTTCGCCCCGCACTTCCCATGCGTGATGGCGGCGTGATCAAACATTCCCAGACATGAGGCCCACACTTCCCATACAAGTCACATACATGATCAGGACGGGAGGTTTTTCGCTATGTTCGGCCCCCGGGGGCCCTCGCCGGGCCTCGGGACCGTCAAAAACCGAGTCAGGATGAAAAACCGGCCCCAGGGAAAGGGTCTGGACTTCCAGGGGCGCCGTCCTGAAAAATCAGGACGTCGCATGACTGGGTTGGTCTCCCAGATCGAATGTATGACGAATGCGTGGGATTGTCGTAAATCGACTGAGGACCCCGACCCCCGACGTCGTGATTTTTGTCACAGCGTCGGCCCCCAGAGGTCTGGACCCCTTCCCCAGGACCGGTTTTCCATCAGGGCCCCTAGAGGCCGAAAGTAGCGAAAAACCTCCGGCCGTGATTTTTTCACTGCGCGAGGGGGCCTGGGAAGCCTAACTATCCTTCCGTTGGTTCGATGAGAAAATCAATCTCGGGGTCAGCCAGC